GATGAGCTGTGGTTGTTCATGGTATTATGGGTGGTTCGTTTATGGATGAGCTGTGGTTGTTCATGGTATTACGGGTGGTTCGTTTGTTGATGTTCTATGGTTTGTTCGTTGCAGCCGGAGATGCAGCGGGGAGTGCACGGCCGCTTCCTCGACCAGTCGACGTCCGTGAGAGAAGCTGCCATCGAACTGGTCGGCAAGTTTGTGCTTATCCGTCCTGAACTCGTAGAGCAGTACTACGACATGCTCATGGAGAGGATACTGGTACGTCGTGGGCTGTGTTGCTACATCTTATACTGGCTGTGGGATTAGCGAGACAACACCTGTGGCAGTTGCGCTACTTTTTATTCGTGGCAGATCGGTGCTGGTGCTAGGTGTATGCAAGGGCTTTAAGCTATAGTATTTGTTAGTTATTTTCGCCCAAGGTTGATCAGTTCAGGAAAAATCACGAGTAAACAGTTTGGGTTTTATTCTGTAAAACAGGCCTATGAACTGTTTAACCCTTTTGCAACTTGTTTGCTTGTTGCTTTTGTATAAAAAAAACAACATCAGTTCACTCCAGGATAGATGGACAAAAAAGCTGAATGTGTGGGAAATGCTAAATGAAGCATGAAGCCAAAATTAATTTGCATTGCTCTAAATACCAGGCCAACAATTTGTCTCACTTCATGTGCATGAAATGGTAGCTAGATGGATGGTAGCTCAATAATTTTATCACCGATGAATCTCACTAGCTCTGCAAGGAATCTCTCCAGAGCAAAACTCACTGCAGAGCAATGATCCCATACAGATAAGGAAGTCTAGTCTAGTCCTAGTCTACGAAGCAGTGCTAGTCCGTTGCTCACGCGGCCATCTTTTCTGTGCAGGACACCGGTGTGAGCGTGAGGAAGCGAGTCATCAAGATACTACGAGACATCTGCCTCGAGATCCCAGACTTTCCAAAGATCTCGGACATGTGCGTGCGCATGATTCGCCGCATCAACGACGAGGAAGGCATCAAGGTAGGCACGCCGGCGTGGGTTAGCAGCCGCGGCGCCAGCACGCAGACTGCATAGCTACGCGAGTATACGTAGCCTGGGTCGCCGGCGTGGGTTAGCGGCCGCGGCGCCAGCACGCAGACTGCATAGCTACGCGAGTATACGTAGCCTGGGTCGCCGGCGTGGGTTAGCGGCCGCGGCGCCAGCAATCAGACTCTGCATAGCTATACGCGTAATACGTAGCCTGGGTCGCCGGCGTGATCGACAGCTGTCAGTGTCACACGGTGTGTTTGAACAGGTGTGGAGGTGGAGGCACATGAGCGTCTTGTTGCATATGCAATGATCATTTATAAACAGCAATGTATAGTATGTAGTGTAGCATACCATCGCATGGCATAGCGTTATCAGACCTCATGAATATAAATATATGATCTATCATGAATGTGGATGAATGCAGTTGGATCAAACTGCATGAATGCTTTGAAGCACACTGCTGTTTTAGGATGGTGTAATTTGTGATTTGCAGAAACTTGTTAATGAAGTTTTCCAAACGATGTGGTTCACGCCGATCAGGGACGCGCAGGCTAGCAGACTTCTCAACAGGGTCGTCAACATCACCGATGTGGTAAGTACGGTGCTGCAGACAGTTGCCAGATCCTGCGGGGTGATAATAGGACTACGATGTAAATAATTATGCAGCAATTACTGGCTAGGAGATTAATTACTTCTCCCGGGAGAAGATGGCTGCCGTAGCGAGCGTAATATTTTCATTTTTAATGCGCTATATTTTTCACTCGGGCAGCTAAAAGGACTCGTTACGTTGTCGTGTGTGCGCTGTGCTTTCATGCCAGAAAGCTATGCAATGCTACCCTAGCTATTTCCGCCGCATAAATTGCAATAGGCTGCCCCTACGCTTAGCTTTGCTTGCTGCAAATTACTGATGCCGAGCTATAGATGTATATCCGAGGTACGGCCCGGCTAAAATGTCGTTTGTGTTCGGCTGTACTGTCGGGTTTTGGCGAGCGGCATGGCATCCCTGCGATCTGAAACTGCTTTTGTGCTTGCAAGGTGTGCTTCATGCACCATCACTCAATGGACAGCTCTCAGCTGATCGCTACACAGGTGGCCGCCGGAGTGGCAGGCGGTAGAGCCCCCTACCATAGGGTATCGGTCAGCCTAGCGGGCGATTATTACACATTCAACACTTTGTCCCGACCCACGAGGTCCAAATCGAATCGAATTTGACAATTTTTCTTAGCTGTTACTATTACAGTTCTTGGCTGGGTCAAAGGGCACATCTCTCTCGAGTGGGTTTTAAGAGAAGCATGGTCTGTGATGAAAAGAGCAAACAAAATTGTTAAAGAATTGAGGGCAGGTGTAAAGATTGAAATAAGAGTCAGTGCTCAGTTTGCATATATTTATTTGCACATAGTAATCAGTCTCTTGAACTTGGAGAGGTCATATCTAGTCAACAAGGATAGAATTTTTATCTATAGACTTATGAGATTGTACATGTAAGGTCATTCAGTTACAATTATGAATGTCTATATCTATTGCCGAATGAAAGAGGTGACTCTTCATGAATGGAAAAAGAATAGGGACAAAGTGTTGATACATATCAAGGTCTTTGTGTGATATTTAACATGTGTTGGCTTGCCTCTTATGCAGCCTTCGTCATGTGGTTATGTTACCATAATTCCATCTTTGTGTGTTAGCTATCGTAGCTAGCCCAGACGTTGCTGTGCAATCACTGTGATTAGTAACTTTAGTTACTAAACGTACACCGATCTTTCCCCTCATTTCTCTAGGTGAATGTATAGAACAATATAGATGAATTTTTCTAGATTTTTCTTTCTAAATCTTTTCAGTATGACTGTCAGTGCATATGCAACTGTGATGGTTGTTATCAGTAACCATTCTCAAATTACAAGCTGCTGTTTTGCATGTGGCTTGTATAAATTGTCATATAATACACTTATGTCTGTGCTTATTTTTTAACATCAACCAATTCTAAACGTGTATGTTCTCTGCAGTACTACAAGAAGTTTTTCCATTCAGTTGCAAATCTCTCTCTTTTGTAAACAACTTATCATTTTAGTCATTAGGTATTGTCACGATCACAATCTTGTTTCTAGTTCTGTGTGAAAAGATTTACATATTAGGTATTGTCAAACGTTAATGGGTGTTATATTGTACTCATGCAAACGCCAAGCTAAGGTTACGGTGATTGCATATTGAATTCTGGATGGGGTACAAATAGAGTTGGTTAAATTACACAGAACATTCAGTGAATTGTTTGTAATTAAAAATAAGACATTTTATTCTTGTCCGAAATGTTTGCATGTTGGGCGTCAGCGATGTTAAGTGTTTCAGGCAGTTGATACCTGAGATTGAACCCTAATCGAGTGTTTTCTGCAGGTAACCGCATGCAAAGACACGGGATATGAGTGGTTTGAGCAGCTACTCGAAAATGTAAGTAGTTTATACCACATAAGCGTAGATGGTCAAATTTAAGGTTCCAAAAATGTCGTGTTCATTTTGAAGGATGCAGCTGTATTCTCTGCTAAAGAATATCTGTCTGAAGATGGCTATGTAGATAGCAAGTAACCTAGCTATGAGAATTGAATTATTAATGTGCTAGTTGTAAGCTCAACTGGAGACAAGGTCGATCCACGCTCCATCATATCTAAACAACGTACTCGCATCTATCCAGTGCTGGGCCTTTTAAAATAAAATGAAACTTAACCCTGCAAAATGTAAAGTTATGCAGGTGTACTTTGGTAGAAATAGACTTCAAGATGCTGATCTTTTTTTAGAACACTCAATTGGAAAATTCGACAACTTTGAAGATCCTGGGTGTATGGTTTCCAGCACGATCTTAAATGGGCCATACACGTTCAAGATTTGGTGGCTAGAGCCAGTGGAAGAATGTTCATGCTTTGTATACTAAAAAAATCTAGGCTTAGCTGTGAAGATCTCGTACAAATTTACTGTGGTTACGTCAGACCGATTCTGGAATATGCTGCACCCGTCTGGCACCCAGGCCTTACCAAAGAGCTCTCACGTCTAATTGAATCTGTTCAAGTAAGGGCAGTGAAAATAATAATAGGTTATAATAATTGGAATAGGTATGACATGTACGATGAGGTACTATCTCAGCTTCAGATCCAAAGACTTGCGTTTCGTCGCGAGCAGCTTTGTGAAAATGTTGCTTATCAGCTCAAAAGTTGTAAACGATTACAGGATATTTGCCCTCCTTCAGCAATAAATGTGTCTAACCGCATAACACGGAATTCTAGTAAACTCCGGCTTGCAAAAGTCCCTCGTACCAGCCGGTACTTCAATAGCCCCGTTCCTTACATGTGCAGGATGATTAACAAATTGTAAACAGGCACTGAATTTTTTACAATAGCATGGATAATTAGTCTTTTGCTTGCACACCTTTATAAACATTTTGGTCTCTTTGAAATAACTCTCTGGGCAACTTTCGGTTTTGTGATATGTTTGATTCTATCATTAGTTGCGTTCACACGGTCATGGTTTGGCTCGAGCCAAATGGGCTAGATTTGGCTCGGGCCAAATTTGGCTCGGGACGGTTTGAGTCGGCGCGTTCACACGTACGCAAGTGAATACTGTCTGTCAAATTCAAATTCAAATTCAAATAAATTTTATTGCACAAATATCTCACAGATACTTTGGCAGTATGTCGCGAGATGGCGTTGTTTACGATTTAGAGTGTTTACTTACGTTCCGAGTTTAATTATCAATCTTGAAAACGTGCATCCTGATCAAATTTTTCGAATTTTTATACTGTTTTGGACTTTATTTCGTCGAAGTACACGTTCGACACTCGCGGCATCTACCGCTCAACCGATTCTACCGCTCTACCCCTCGCCGAAAGCTGGTGCTAAAATTTGGCTCGGACCTGGTCCGACGTTTTCGATGGGACCAAATCTGGCACGGGCCTAATTAGGCTCGGGCCAAAAACGTCCGTGCGAACGCTCGGCTCAAGCCAAATCTGGCACGGGTTTAATTAGGCTCGGGCCAAAAACGTCCGTGTGAACGCGCCTATTGTGTCGCTTTTTAATTGTAACTATTTTTTGACCAAGGATCACGTTATTTTAAATTTAGTATATATTCTAAAGATGGTTTTTAGTTGTAGTGATATAATTTTACGAACCAACATTTTAAGTGATATCTATGTCTTACCATGGGACATATATTATTGTAAATATCATCAATTTCAGTTTTATACTGCCTGATGATATCTTGTTTTGCAGCGCTTAGGATCAACAGCAAAGCTGTGCCACGCAATCTTGTATCATGTCTCTCTGGTTTTGCAATAAACCTATTATCTATCTATCTATCTATCTATCTATCTATCTATCTATCTATCTTAAGCAACCTAGCTATCAGTAATGTGTTATTAATGTACTAGTTTTAAGCTTTGCTAACTAACAGAGTTTCTCAGCAGGTATATGATAAGTGAAACGCCTTGCGAAATATTTCATCAGCCCCGCTCAATATTTGCCAAAGTTCCCGTCTCACTACAAGTTCTCGGCCCCCCTCCCCCCACCAATCATTATCCAACCAGCCACTCCCCAATCCCAGGTTCTCCTCCCCACCCCCTACCCGGCACCCCCATGCATGGATCAGCATTGCGTCACAAACCACTAGTATTTCTACATGCCTGTTCGGTTTTTGTCGCAGCTATTCAAGAAGGAGAAAGATGCGAGTCAGAAACCGGTGCTTGAAGCCAGTAGGCAGATCGTTGACTGTCTAGTCGAGAACGTTCTCAACTTAGAGGCTGGCCTCGGAGGTACGCTTGACTCACTCTAATTGTCTCTAACTTCATGGCATGTCGTCAGTGTCCAATGCTTTTAAATTTAATACCACTAATTAGTGATGTCCCGATGATCGATTATAATCGAAAATCAATCGATTATAGTCTCAAATTCGATAATCGATTACAAATAATAGATTATCGGAAATACCAAAACAAACAAACAAGGAACTGTACTCACGATGTGTGAATTGATATGACAAGTAGAGCACAAGTCCTGCAGGGGCCCGTTGTCAGAAACATCGTAAAGTTAATCATGCTAATGTTAATGCTACGATAACGCTTACGACTAATATTAATGCTACGATAACACTTACGACTAATGTTAATGCTACGATAACACTTACGACTAATGTTAATGCTACGATAACACTTACGACTAATGTTAATGCTACGATAAAACTTACGACTAATGTTAATGCTACGATAACGCTTACGACTAATGTTAATGCTACGCGAGTAGCGTTGACAGAAACACATCGTAGCTACGAGCAAACTCACGATAACAGGAACTTCATAATTTCATGTCACAAGGCTGCTGATTGGATGAGAATCGATCACAAAATTCAAATTCATACACATTTATTGTAGGATATTCCATTGGCAGGACATTAACTCGGCTACACAGCCTACACTATTAGAACACAAACAACTTACTTACTATAATAAAGAACAAGTCTTGATCATGTTTGTTTAAAGCGATCATTGCGAGTTTTTTTCAGCATTTTTCAGTGTTTATTCTCACTCTCATGATGCCTACCGTTGTTGCTTGAGTAACAGTAATTGTTTGAAATAACAATAAAATGTCTTAGAACCTCATGCAAAGACAAAATCATGCACGATTACAATTTTGCCTTCTCTTGTCAATTTTCACTGTCATGTCTCACACTTTCTCGCGGTACCGCGAGACGTCAACAAGGGTGCAGTAATGCAAAAATCGCACCGGAGATATTTTTGGTCAGATGTAAACACAGAGGTCCATAGTATTAGTAGCGTAACACAAACAGGAGTGTACGATAAGTTGTAACCTCATAAATATTAGTCTTCAAAAGTCCTAGGGACTATAACAAAGACGGAGAGAGAAGTGGATCAAATCGATGTATCAACACTGCGGATTATCACACACAAATAGATGCCCCTTTGTTTTAATTATGTTCGCTTGTTTAAGACGCCATTTGTGATTTTTGAAAGTCCTGACTCGAAAAAATTTATTGCTGGTATGATGTGGTCAAATCAATTTTTCTATGCTATAACTGCATAAAACATTGGTGTTTTGAATGTTGGTGTAATCAGTGATATTTTTGCTGTCAGGTGAGACTATATTCAGCTATATTTAGTTTTTCTGAGCAAAATTCTCGCAATAATCGTTTTAAAACTTAATGTTTTAATAAAGGCATTTAAACCATTTCTTTTTAAATTGATTAAATACTGTATAGGAACAGACATTGATATACATACAGCAACCTTCACAGAGTTAATACATGATCATAAAACATGATAATATTGAATGCTATGTATAATTGTATATACAAAGTAAGATTAAATTAAATCTATGCTATTATTAACCGATTATTCGATTATAATCGATTATCGATCGGTTAAGGGAAACCAATAATCGATTATGAAATTCCAGCCGATTCCCATCACTACCACTAATAGTCCACATATGTAACACTTTGCTTGGACAAGTATGTCTGTAACGGATACGATATTTTTTTCATGAATAATAATGGCTAGTAGTACTCAATACAGGTTCAAAGCCTAGCTAGTATAAGGCTATATGGGAAACTTCAATCATTGTGCTTGGCCATGTGAGCTTTTATCATATCGATTGCCGATGTAGATACTATAATGCCGCAGTTAAACCATGAACAGCAACAAATCCGTACACAAATCCAACCCAAAAGTGTAATTCATATCTTGTTGAAACATAACTTGTTAGCTTTGCTGAAATGGGGGCGATGTAGTCGATTGAAGATTGTGGGTGTATCCGTGCAAGGTTGGGCGACGATGGCTGCGGTTGAACTTACCTGACCTTCGTCCTTTGCTTCTTACAGATGCGGACGGCCGTGGGACCAGCAGTGCGCGACTCGTCTCCTGCCTGCAGACACTCTACCTGTTCAGCAAGATCAGGCCTGAGCTGGTAGTGAAGCACGCCACACACCTTACCCCTTACCTCACCATCAAGTGTACTGTGAGTAATCGTTGTTATCGCGTACACGATGTGTAGATAGATGGTGACACCTTACCCCTTACCTCACCATCAAGTGTACTGTGAGTAATCGTTGTTGTCACGTACACGATGTGTAGATAAATGGTGAGAATAGAGAACGTTGAGAGGCACGTTGTTATAATAACTACACAGTATGTAAACCTAACAGTGGCTACTATTAGTGGGGGGTTTTAATACGAATTCAGTATAACTTGTATGTTTTCCTCTTTTAGATGCACGCAATTACCTGTCTAACTATACAGATGTAAAAATTAGAATACAAATACAAATCCAAAAATTTAATCATATTCAAATTCCGATTCAATGTACCATAAGTAGTGTTTGATATAAGATGGTGTACTCTTTTAAACGCAGAACGACTACGTATCTACCTGCGGTTTATGTAAATTCATATTCTGTTTAACATGAGTGGTCTCCTTCTCCTGCAGACGCAGAACGACTACCTATCTATACACAATGTGGCGCGCACGTTGGAGCTGGTCGTGCCGCTCATGGACCATCCGAGCGAGACATTCCTGGCACAGCTGGAGGAGGACATGATGAAGCTAATCCTCAAGCACGGAATGATGGTGAGAGCGAGCGTTGGCAGTAGGGTGTGCGGATGAAGGGTGCTCAACCGAAGACACGTGTCTACTCCAGTTACCTCCTTGTTTGTCTGGTTGTATTGATCAGGTTTTTTTATAATCGAGTGCGGGGGTGACTGGTCACAGTGCATTGCGTATGATATCTCTGTCCATTGCTCATGATAATTAAGGCTTTTAAAACGCGGGTCCTCCACTCCACCAGTACACTTTGTAAATATTGCAGATGGACAGTATTACCTTCCGTTAGAGGTGTATTCTGGTGGTCTTTGTGTTAGAGTGAGAGACATGCTAGTGTCAGAGAATGCTCGGGTTACCGATGTGTTTTTGTTCGTGGTGACAGGTTCTGCAGTCCTGTGTCAGCTGTCTGGCATCCGTCGTCAACAACGTCACCAAGAACTTCAAGCTTGTGCGAGATTGCTTCCAGAAGTTCTTCGGTGAGTTTGATTATGGGTTTGTATTTCAGTTGTTGTGACTATTAGTGTGCGGAAGTGGCAATCTGTGAGCGATGCGCTTCCCCACACTAATAGTTGTGGTCATTATAATGACCTTTGGTCCATCACTGTGATGCCGTATGACAAACTTTACGTGTTAAATGTTGCGTTGTCGTTGCTGTAGGCGTGTTGGCGCGGCTGAAGCATGAGCACATCCTAAACCCCAACAGTCAGACGATGCTGTCCAACCGGCCAACGCTGATGCGCTCACTCTTCACTGTCGGACTCTTCTGCCAGCACTTCGACTTTGATAGCGAAGAGATGGGGAAACCCAAGGTCAGTATCAGGCATGAACATTTTCCGCGTTTCCGCTTTTTTCCCGATCCCAGAATTGTTTCCGCGTTTTCCGTTTTTTTCCGAGTTCACGTGCAGCATTCGTAATCTACCACGGGCATATGTACATGCAGGGGCACGGTTTATCGATCGTCTACTGCGGCTGGCAGCAAGCTAGACTGGTACCCGTAGCCGTAGACGTGTGTGCGTGAGCGTGTGTGTGCGACATGTGTGCGTGTGCGACGTGTGTGCGTGAGCGCGTGTGCGTCTGTGCGTAAGCGCGTGTGTGCGTGAGCGCGTGTGTGCGTGAGCGCGTGTGTGCGACGTGTGTGCGTGAGCGCGTATGTGCGACGTGTGTGCGTGAGCGCGTGTGTGTGATGTATGTGCGTGAGCGCGTGTGTGTGTGCGACGTGTGTGCGTGAGCGCGTGTGCGTGACGTGTGTGCGTGAGCGCATGTGTGCGTGAGCGCGTGTGTGCGTGAGCGCGTGTGTGTGACGTGTGTGCGTGAGCGCATGTGTGTGACGTGTGTGCGTGAGCGCGTATGTGCGACGTGTGTGCGTAAGCGCGTGTGTGTGCGGTGTGTGTGCGTGAGCGCGTGTGTGCGTGAGCGCGTGTGTGCGACGTGTGTGCGTGAGCGCATATGTGTGACGTGTGTGCGTGAGCGCGTGTGTGCGTGAGCGCATGTGTGCTGAGCGTGTGTGCGTGAGCGCGTGTGTGTGTGTGCGACGTGTGTGCGTGAGCGCGTGTATACGACGTGTGTGCGTGTGCGACGTGTGTGCGACATGTGTGCGTGTGCGACGTGTGTGCGTGAGCGCGTGTGTGCGACGTGTGTGCATGAGCGCGTGTGTGCGACGTGTGTGCGTGTGTGCGTGAGCGCGTGTATGCGTCAGCGCATGTGTGCGACGTGTGTGCGTGAGGCTGAGCGTGTGTGCGACGTGAGCGTCAATCACGCAAAGCGCGCAGCGAAAACTTAAAATGGATGTATAAATTAGTTTTTGAACGTTATAATTACTGTAACAAGTCTTAGCTCATACATTTTATTTTTTCTTTCCCACTCTTATTTTTTGGGTGGGGCTTTTTGGTTTTGCTTCCCCCACTTTTTGGATTGGAGGGGCAGCCGCCCCCCGTGCCCCCCACTTCCGGCGCCTCTGATTCTGACCCCCAAAATTTAAAAATCTCCCTACCGTGGGAGGGGGTACTCCCCCCTCGGGGTCCCCCCCCCCCCCGCCTCAGGGTTTTCAGTGTTTTTCTTTACCGGTCATTTTCATGCCTGCAGTATAGATGAGGTTGGTCCCATAGCAATGAGAGTAGTATCTGAAGTTAATTGCTACACTAGCAGTGGCCAGCATAAGTTTAACTGATCCTGAGGAGAGAGAGAGTGTTAGCCGTGTTTCAGATATGCTGGTTGGTAGTTTTGAATTCATGCGTTTTAAGCTTAGTGAATGGCAGAGATTTGTGTTGTATTATATTTTAAGGTTTGCGTGCAGGGCGTGGTTTAATACTATAATCAGAACGATATTGTAACAAGAAGAGGGGAAGTATGAGTGGCAGCAAACCTATTTAGTCGTGAAATTTACGACTCTGTAGCTCACATACCAAATGCCTGGTTATAGTTCTTATACTCGTTCTACCGTGCCTAACTCGTTACTCTCCACAGCTGACACTCGCATGATTCTGTTTCAGTCGTCTGTCATAGAGCGGGTGTTCGAGACTATGATGTACTACATGAACTATGACGATGAAGAAGTGAAGCACAAAACACTCACGGGCCTCGGTAAGTCACCCTCTCCTCACGCGCATGCGAGCGCGAGCGTCTACCAACATTACGCTTGCTGACGACCACATCCGTAACTCCTGCATGGTTTCCACCGGACTGGCACTTATGTGCGTACTGTGACTGTGGCACTGTGGTCGGTATGTAATCATTTTATGAATATTTTTAGGTTTCCTGTGTATTCGCAATTATGACTTCATGCTGGGGACGCAAATCAGAGAGCTGTACCATCAGCACTTGCTACACAAGGATTTATCATTTCACAAGTGTCAGGTAGGTGGCAGAATGATGACAGCGAACACTTATTAATTCTTGCATGTATAATTCAACTACACATACATGTACTGAAGACAGTCTTTTTCATGGTGAAACAAACTGCGAGATGCAATAGTGTTGAGCAATTAAAATAATAAAATTTCTGAAGAATATTATAAAACAGCACTATACAACATGAAGAAAAAAATATATAGAAAAACGTCAGTACTTTCTGTACAAGTAAATTGGTGAAACAGTCAATCATTTTCGGCCACAGTTGGGTTTGAGGCTTTATGTTTATTTTTTCACATATCTCGTATATTTCATATTTGGAATGTTACGATTTCAGAATGTGAACCTGTTGTTACAAGTGTTGAAGAACCTGTTGCTTTACCTGACTGAGGAAGAGATACGAATGGCCAAGGCTGATGCAGCTTGTAAGTGCTAGGAAGGTTTACATGCATTCATGGTGATAGCAGAGATGCCAACCACTACGATTTATCCGTATTTTATACGAATTTCTATTCTTTTGCACCACTACGACCAGTTTGTATCAAACTACGAATTTCACTGTTATCTAAAAAAATTTATTGTTTTGTAAATTTTGTCAATTTATTGTCATTATTGACCCTCAGAAAGCAGGAAGTTTCATCTCAGAATCAAAAATTTTTCCGGGGGGCATGCCGGACCCCCCTAGCAAACCCGACCCTCGAACTACTAATTTGATAGTTAGAAACTACAGATTGCTTCAAATATGTGTTGGCATCTCTGTGATAGTAGGATAGTGATAAATTAATGAGAATTTGAGAGAAAGCACACGAGAGAGGGGGAGGGCGGGAGGGACGCAGAGAGAGAAGGGGGAAGAAAGAAGAGACAAAGTACGACGATTACAGTATGTTGAATTCAGCATGCATATAATATATGTATTATAATTAATTATTTATATTAATTATTATTAATATTAATGCATTTATATAGTATATAAAGTATATTATACTTGATTCAAAAATTCTCGTACCATTATACAAGTTCTTTAATCTTATTTAATAAAATGTTCCTACTGTAACTTGTTTCACAGATAGTATGTGCATTTTAATTTTTAGGGGCAACGGTGTCACAGACAGAGGATCTGAAGGAGATGGGTGACATCACTTCTGGGTGAGCTTTTAAACTGGATCTTAATCATTACACATTTTCCATTTATGTTTTCGCATTTATCATTACACATTTACACATCGTAACTTTATACATTATATACCACCATACATTATACATTTCCTCGACTGGAACTTCCTGTCCGTGAATACCTGAAGCCTTGAATTTGCAATTTGCTCGAGGGATGCTTTTTACCTGTGCACGACTGTGTGGGGGTAACGAGCGTGTCATATTTAGGGATGAGAATATTTTTTAGATCCGAGAAATTTCTCGGATTTGACAGTCCCTGGGGTCGATTTTATGAAACGTCTAAATTCGATGGTAAAGGTTTAAGGGTGGGGGGGAGTATAAGGTTAAGAATGTAAAATCTGTATTTAAACTCTGAACATTACCTTTATTCAGTAACATTTTCTCTTTACATGACGTATGTGTTACATGTGCACATGGTGTGAGAACGTGTGTGTAATATAACAATAACACAATTTAGTTTGTATTTATCAATAACAAGTAAAACACATTGTACTAGTTTTAATGAAATGTGTGAATAGTTGGCTCCCCCTCACCGATTTGTGATTTTTCACTGAAAATGAAATTCTTTATTCTGATTGCTACGTATTGTGTTTGGTGCGCAGCATGGCGAGCACAGTGATCCAGGTCTACCTGAAGCAGCTACTAGAGGCATACTATCACCCGCACAACTCCGTGCGCATGGCAGTGCTACAGGTGCTGGCCCTCGTCCTCCGCCAGGGACTCGTCCATCCCGTACAGGTGCGTAGACTCATCACAGGTGTGCTTAATGACACCTGTGCAACTATGTAGCCAGGTAGCAGGTGCGTAGACTCGTCACAGGTGTGCTTAGTGACACTTACGCAATAGAGGTGTAACGATACGTCACGTTAACACTAGGGTCACGATACGATACGTGTCTCGATACATAGGTCGTGATAGGATACGTATCGTGATACACAGGAACAGGAACAGAAAGATTGTATATTGCATGCTATGATAAACTTGCCATATCATGTACGAATTTATAATGTTTTATATTATTGTTTATTTGTAAATTTATAATTAAAGGGATATATTAGCTTAGAATTGTGATACACTATAATAAAATATAGTGTGTGTTTCCGGTATGGTGTGCGTATAATTAGCGGTGTGTTTAGTGACACCTCTTCAAGTATAAGGTATATTTCATGTAAATGGTAACACTTGAATGCCTTGTGTGTTTGGTAGTCATGGTAACGCCTCATTGTTTGCAGTGTGTGCCATATCTTGTGTGCATGTCGACTGACAGCGAACCATCGATCCGCATCAAGGCCGATCAGCAGCTGCAGGAGATCGACAAGAAATACGCCGGCTTCATTCACGTACGTATGCTGCGTGCGGCGCCACCTGCCAGCTCGTGTTATTTACGCGTGCACGCCGGATCATCGGCATTTCGTTAATACTGGGCAGCATCCCTCTGAACGCCCCGATCGCAACGCTGACTGGCGAGAGCCACCTGTGTATCACTCCCAGCAGGCAGCATCGTTGTTGGATGTCGTCGTTCCGCCTCGTGAAGTTTGTCGCTCGTTGCCTTGCAGATGAAGGCCGTTGCCGGGGTGAAGGAGTCGCTGCGTCTTCAGACCATCCTCCAGCATCAGGAGCGCGGTGAGGAGGAGCCGGTGCGCGGCATTCGAGAGGACGACAACGCACAGCTCGTATCGCTCAACGCGTTCCTGTACACGCTCGTGCGCAGCAGCCGCGCCCACCGCCGCGCCTTCATCATGTCCCTGCTCAAGCAGTTTGATGAGATGCTGGTAAGTCGCGCTCAACAACGCATTCCTGTACACGCTGTAATTGTTTTTGTCAAACTCATTGATTTCATAGAACTACTTCCTTTGTTCTGGCTATTGTTTGCATTTCGTCGCGCCGTGTAGCGTCACTGACAGCATTGTGCTCGTGTTGCAGCGAGTGCCGCTGAGCCAGCTACTCTACCTGGCAGACAATCTGTCGCACTTCCCCTACCAGAACCAGGACGAGGCTTTGTTCGTCATCCACCACATAGAGCTCATATCTTCCGTGTCCGGATCAAACGTGCTGCAGTCTTTCCGCGAGGTAACGCATTCTTACAGAATCTCACTGCGATATCTAGCCGGAGACCGCTGCTGTTTGTTTATCTTGTGTTTTTTCGTTGTGTGAACATTTTCTGTGAAGACATTAAATACTGCATAGTAAGCCGGTGTCATAGTTCATATTGTGTTTTTCCATCGTGTGAACATTTTCTGTGAAGACATTAAGAACTACATAGTAAGCAGGCATCATAGTTTATGTTGTAGTGGTAGCCTGGTGGTGATAGTCATTAGAGCAGCGTCGCTATTCCGTGCTGCTCTACAAACTAGTCTCGATGCCGAGCACAATTACGCATTGCCACGACCGATGCAATGCGGTCCCGGTTTCGCACCGTCATTTCTAACCGAGATGCTATGCAACGTGATGTTGTAGGTACTGTTTCCTGGCATGTCGGAGAATCTGGTGACCCAGGCTCACGTTGAGGAAGCTGAGGAAAAGCCGGAGGGTCTGATAGGTACGTTGAATGTCATTTGCAATTACCAATAATAGCAGTATTGATCATTTATAAGGCATCCGTAATTTGGAGAACTGCAAAAACATTGCGTAGAACATACAGCAGCTCCATATAATGGTAATTTGCATGCTATTGTTTTGCAGGAAGTTTGTGTAGATTGGCAGGAAATCTAGTATGCCTCCATGCTGTTTGTTCACTAGTGAACGTGATGTTATGAACATTTTCAGAACGGATACCGGAAGATGCGAGTGCGGTGCTGGATTGCATCATGGCATCCAAGGGCTGCATGTTGCTGCTTGTTATTAAAGAATACTTGAAGGCTACATATGGCTTCAGTGATGGGTGAGTTGGCATGTCACTTATTATTGTATATAAGCATGAGAGGAACTTTTTCCCGGGCTTAAAGGCATAATAGGTCCATTGATTATGCAATTTTAACGAATACTAGAGTAACTGGCACCTTGTGTAGTTAATAAGTACATTACCTTATAGCCAAACGCGTATTAGTTTGTCCAATATCACTGCTAGTTACTAAGAAATGTCGAATTGAAATCCGTAAATCTGGTAATCTGGCGCCAACGCTAAATTGCTTGCGAAGCAATATAGCCTCGATTTCGGTCTGGTGACGTCACATGTTGCTACGGGTGTTTAGCAGAGAATTGTTTGTCCCGGGATGCTTATAACGACTAATGAGCTAGTAGAATGTATCTCTGGGTGTATTCTGGGTATTGAGGCACAAGTAAATAACCGTGGGTACTAATGAACGGGTACCCACATGTCTTCAATTTCGAACACAGGTGTATTCGTTTGACCAATATACGTAAATGCGCATAGTGCCGTCTGCTTTCCATGTTTAGTCTGTGGCCGTGGTTAGTCCGTGATCCCCCCATAGTGTTGGCCCCAAACACAGCCTACTTCATTATCACGAGCGCCCGTGATTCGTATGTGGATTCCACAGTCATTACAATCAGAGCTAGCGTAGGGCCTACTGTTACGTATACAGTTACGGCACTGTACTATCGCTAGCGTGCCAGCTGAGCGGCAGCGAGCGGCAGCGTGCCAGCAGCAAGAGCTTGCAATAGCTGGTATTGCAATGGTAATAGCTGGAGATGATCTCCCATTGCGCAGAGATACTGCATGAACGTAATAAACACGGACGCTCGTGATAAGGTAAAATGACAAGGTAAGGATATAACGTTTTATCTGGGCTGTCCGTTTATAGATAGTCCGTGGGTGTCAGTTTTCGTTCGTGTGTTCTGCACCATTTACGTGTTTCCCATTTCACAGTGTAATAAACCACCACAATTAACCCACCCTAAATTAAGACCACAATCAACCCAATCCACAATTAAGACCACAATTAAGGATCGAAATCACTGATGATATAGCATTGCGTACGGCAGAGTATATGCGTGCGAAAATGTCCGGTGCACTATAAATCTGTATCACACCCGCTTTGCGGCAGCTTTTTGAAAGTGTGGCCAACCGATTTTTGGACTGTGGATTTCAATTCGACATTTCTTAGTAACCAGCAGTGATATTGGACAAACTAATACGCGTTTGGCTATAAGGTAATGTACTTATTAACTACACAAGAGGCCAGTTACTCTAGCATTCCTTAAAATTGCATAATCAATGGACCTATTATGCCTTTAAGGCTGCTCTAACACCTAGTCGGCTATAATCCACCAGAGCTGCTGATATTGATATGTTTGCTCAACTACCTGTCAAATAATTCAGAAAAGTTTGGAACAGGAATGTGAGTGCAAAATTCCCTTTGTATTAGCTTGGATTATCTCTTCTGAGTCAATATTCTTGTTCCCAAGTGGTAACATAGAAAAGAGATTTGTGGTCTTTTTAGATGGAAATTCTTTAGCATCTTCATCGCCTCTTTCATCACAGTAGCCTCTTTCGTCAGTGTCAGCCACTGTTTAGCACATATTTTCATAGAGTATATAGCAACATAGCAATGACTCGAAGCTCAATCGAAATTTTCGGTCCTTCATGTGTTTAATTTGTAAAACTGTGTAAAATAATTATTGACTAGTGGCTAAGTATTGTGTGGTATTGGTTTCATTACAGGAAAGTACATAAATACTCGCCAACAGAAAATGTCAAGGTGTTTGAGCGAGTACTCAACAGGAAACAGGGTGTAAAATTCAACCCAAAACAGGTACGAAATAATCCTTTATCTTGACAACCGTACTGCTCTTGAATTTAGTCATGCTTATGATGCCGTCAGCATTGTGTAGATTCAGGATTTCAGTTCATGGAACAAGTTTAATGCTGCTGATTTCACAAGAGTGGTGCGCATACTTTCAGGTGCTAGAAACACTGAAGCAAGGTCCTCCTTCGTCTCATCTGAATGACGAGGAGAAGGAAGCGATCATCCACCAATTCCTCGACGTAAGATACTGCTGTTACGATCATATCTGTTACATCTCAAACTTAGAAATGTAGGGTTTCTCACTCGTGCAACTTGGTCTGACGTAGACCTTGTCACCAGAACTCGAAAGAAAATTTTATGTAGTAGTCTGACGACTAAAAAAAGCTGTCAGGTTTTAGGTATATTCACAACAGATCTTTACATCCTCCACGTTGCATAGTGCAAGTAACTACTTCTTACTATGTCAGTGGTAATGGATTGGGAAGGCACACAAATAATTATGGATGTTCACTAAAGTCTGGGGTGAGAATGGGTCTGTCTATCTGTCTAGCTTACTATACCGGTGAACTGCAGTAGTATCGTGCTGCTTTTGTCAGATGCCCAAAAAATTCGAGTTTCGAGTTGTTTTTTAGGAGTAGCGCACACAGATGCCTTACCTAGTACGCTTGTTTCCTCGTGCAGTTTAAGCATCTGATGCTGAAGCTGGATCCAGCAGAAGATGATGATGAAGACTTTGGACCTCAGCCAAAGCCAGTCGTCCCCGGGGAAGCAGGGGACGGTGCTGTCGTGTCGAACAATGACGCAAACATCTTAGGTCGGCAAGATTTCTAATCTTATCTACGCATCGGCGGCGAAGACCGAAACTTAATCTTAATTCGCAGGTCGTGTTTAAGCTAGGAAATGTCATCTGGTGGTAACATTAAAGTTTTTACAATAACTCACTGAATAAGAACAGGTTTATCTCAGGTATTTTGGAATCGGCTCACGTTGTCAATCTGCACTGTTTAAACCAATGCAGTCCCCAACCATCACAGACATCCCCCCATCACCACCTTCACACTTACGATATCTACCACTATATCGTATTACAGCTGAGGTGAACCTGGCAGGCCCTAGCGGCGACCCCGGCAGGGGTGGTGGCGGCGGCAGCGGCGTGGCGGGGATGAGCGGTAGCAGCGGGGCGGACGACGCGGCGCTACGCATGATGCCGACAGTCGTGCTCGAGCGCACCATCGTCACGCTGGACGAGCACGGAGCGGAGAAGCGCGTCGTGCTCAGGCTAGGTGGCGCCGGCGTAGGCGGCGACGCGCAGCCGGACAACCTGCTGATGGACGACGACAGCCGCATGACGTCAGAGAGTCCGCGCGATGACGAGTACGAGCGTGTGAGTGTCATCGCGTGATGCTGCTGCCAGACCTGTGTGTCAGCGGTTCATCCCCGGTTGCTAATTGGAGTCAATTACGTATGTTGTGAGCAGCCCAATACGTAGATAGGCACGGTCAGGTTGAGGGTGCATACATCAAGCTGTACATACACAGCATGACTGTGCTGAGGTTGTCCAAAGTAAAAATAGCTAGGGAATTAAGGCTTCTAGGAAGATTCATGCGATGTTGCAAATTAGCTTCAGGTTTGAGGGCGTGTCGGAGCCGACATGCGTTAAAGGTGTGTGGAGGATTCTGCAATGTGAAACAATTCTATGGCAATTGGTTAGCTGTTATTATTAGGTCAGATAAAACAAGGTTATATATACATTATGGTGATTAACAGATTGTCCGATTATGATGCATTATTGATGGTTGGGTGCAACCGAAGGTCTATTATGAAATTCCAGCCAATTCCCATTACTACTGTGTATAAGGGTCACTCTAGGGAGAACCCAAAGGCGTCCTTAATAGACTGCTGACTGTTCTCTAGAGGTGTTTTCTTCGACCTGTTTGCAGGAGGTGCACAAGAAACACAAGAAGCATAAGAAGCACAAGAAGAAGCATAAGCACAAGCACAAACGGCGGAGGATAGAGAGTGAGGATGAGACGGGCAGTGGTGTGGAGCCCGACGCAGACAGTGACAGTGATCCTGACTTCAACGGCTGATGGTCACCTGCAGGCACTTGCTCCGTCACTCACCCCTGTGTGCTACACAGCCATTCACATCGTTTTACAATCAGTAGGAAGGAAGAAATTTTAGCTAGGGAAGAACATCCACTTTGTCCCCCCATTCACTGACTAACCTACACATGATTTTGGGCGGGGGGTGGGTGGCGTCGAGTCCCCCCCAATATTCGTTGTAAATATGCATTAATCGTTTTATGATGTCATCCGCAAGTTTAAATCTGTATAGAGTGACTGTAAGTATTTCTATCGGAGAGATTCACACACAAGCATAGGGGCCGTCGTGCGAGGCAACCCTAACCGCCCTTACGGACCAGTACGTATGAAACAATAGGCCTGAATTTCATCGCGTTGTTAATAGTGTGTCCATTCGCTAATGTATTTTTGATGGTTGTTGCTGCGTACCTGGACCACTGCTGAGCAGAGTGGTATTTAGAATATATATACTGTATTATTGGCAGTTTGATGTTGTGCGTTCATAGTCGATCAGGTCACTTGTACTCGTAGCGTCTGGTGGAAACACGCTAACGAGGCGAGAGGCAGTCCTGCAAGCTAAGCGAAACAAAGCTTTGTAAATAACATTTGCCACGGAAATGGTAGCCAGTCCCCATCCCCCCGTCACCCTGGTTCTCGAACCATCATTCATTATATTTCTTTTCTACCTTGCACCGCGTGCATCAAGGCTGCAGCCGACTCGAGTCAGCTGGCAAAGCTGTCGAGTTGGCTTGACAGTTTGTAGGTAGTAAGTTTAGCAGTTTATCCTTTGATCACCAGACCGTGGTGGTAGTATGGGACAAATCTGTGCAACAGTGATGAGGAGTGGGGGGTGCTCGCTCTGCTTCGCTGTAGTAAATATTTGCTTATAATATATTAATATATATATATATATAATCCATTAATAGCGAGTCAGCAGAACTCTGGAGCAGAAAGTGGCCCCTTCTGCACCGCTCCTGTACAAAGCTACTGCAGGGAACCTGTGTGGCTATGTGTGTGTGTGCGTGTACGCGCGCGCGTATGTAAATATCGTCTCATAGTTCATTGTGTATTATATTATTGATTCGTGAATATTGTTATGGTTCAGTCGATCCGTAAAAAAGATTGCATTGTTGCTATGTAAATGAGTGGATGGATGTTACTAAGGTAAACTGAGAGACTTAAAATGCATCACACATATTTATGGGTTTATCTCGATGTGCAATGTGTTTGTCGTGCAAGCTACCCCAAGCCGAGGTCCATCCCTTTCTCCTCTTCTTCTCGTGGTCGAAATTTCATCCTTAATATGTCATCTGCACCAGCAAATGCTGGTGTGTTTAGGCATGCCTACCGCGTTTGTGAAAACCAATGCTCGGCAACGACACATTGGGTTTTGCTAAAGGTAGAAATGGCCAGATGGAGGAGAACACAACATGGGGAGACCTGCACGGGGCATGTCCTATTGTTGTGGTCTGTTTAACGAGGCGTTCATTTTGAATTTCATCATGTATGTATCGTTATTCCATTATTTAAAGTCTGTAAATTACGTTTTCCATTGCTGTTGTGTGTGCGTGCGTGCGTGTGTGCGTGTGTCAAGCCACTAGTCGATTCCTGTAACATCTAGCAGTTTTATAATAGCGTCAACAAAATTTAAAAGTAGATGGAGTTAGTACGTATGTGTAGTTCAGATCTTATTTTTCAGCAAACGTTTTGTAAGAAAATTATATGGTATCAGCAGTTCTTATATTAAAAGTTATTTAAATATTAATTGAAGCTTTGGACTTTGGTATGTCATGTGGAAATATGCGGACAGAAACGAGACAAGACCAACATTACAGGTTCTACAAATAGCTGACTATGTTTATAATATAGTAAGAAAAGCAATAGCTGCCTTATTGCCTTGTACAATGAGTCAGACAGTTCCCTAATGGTGGTGACATACGCACTAGCTTTTTGCACATGTTACAATATACACGAACATGCAATTAATTTACATATAGATGGTTGATAAAGCATGTGTGATAAACAATGTCCGATACAGGTGTGCCCATGGCTTCCTCCTCACAGTAATCAATCAATCAATCAACGGACGATGAAGCATAATTATTAAGACAAGTTTCATAGTACATGATTTAAACTGACTACACTTTGTCCTGCAATGGGATTTACACCACTCTTAACATAGGACAGTAAACGATAGAATAGACTTAAACAATTGCATGCATTTGCATATGAATAGCAGAAATGACTCGCCTACACATATTCTTGACGGAACCACTTACTTTACACAAGGATATTAGCAAAATATATATAGCTGTCATTAATTAAACATTAAATGTTATTCTGGCAAACATTAGTATTGCTATCTAATTCATACATTTACATATTTTCTTCAGCACTAATCATGCAATAGAGTATAAATCTTATTCATTCAACTGCCATAGTATTATTGCTCCTTGAGTTGCTGCATAAACTATATAGGCACAGGTATTTTGGCATCTACTATTGGCATTCTGTCTTGCAACACATTCTTCAAGTGTTTCAGACTTAATAAATATAGCTGTCACATCTACGATTTATCCTTTATAGAGATTTTATAGTCAACCATGACCACCCTCAGCATTTGATAGTATAAGATGCAAAACTACTGAAATCCAAGTTAGTTTTGAATGCTCACATATAACAGTTGTATGTATAGCACAGTGAGATTGCTCCTGTTCGAACAATCAAAAATATCCTACCTAAGCTTTAGGAAACCTATTACAATTCGATAAATAGTTGATAAACAATAAATACTGCTACGAGGAATGTAATACAGTCTGCACAGTTTTGCATATGGAGATGTATCGACTCAAACAAATGCAGAGAGGTAGGCTAAAAGTACGAGAAAAGAAATACATTCAAAACGTGTGGAGATTTTTTCATCAGACATAATTACCACTTATATGCTGCTGATTACGCTTCAGAGCTGCCACAAATACACAAAGAAATGATCAATAAAAGACATCTCTTGCTGAATGCAATACATTATCGGGGCCTCACTTCTGATATTCCTATCATTGAGATGCTGACGAGGACTTGCACAACAACTGACTACACATTAACTGCACATCCACTTCAGTATACGTCGACAAGCTGTTGTTCCTGCTCTAATACTAATCCTGATCCATGTGCACTGTGGCACTTTCAACATTTTTTTCACAGAAAACTCACTGGAAGCAGATTAAGACCTCACTTGGCCACGTCAGCACTGTGCTGCAGTTAAATTCTTGTCCGTAAATCGGTAATTAGTCCGCTGCAGTTTTCTTAACGAATGCTGTCAGCTGAGATACCTCGGATGGCAGACGACTAAACTCGATCTCTTCATTGGTGGCGATCTCCTCCCCTTCTCCATCTCCATCCACTAGAAAAGGAGATCAGAGAGTATTCTAAACATGAACTTGAACATGAACTTGAAACAGATCAGAAAGTAATCCAAACATGAACGTTAGCAAGAATGACGGTGATTATTAAAAACCATTCCCATTCGGGGTTCATTGCCCGGTTGTTCGCTTTACGATCGTTATTTAGAAATCTGTTACGCCGACATCATGGTATTACTCACCGATTAGGGCTGGAGCGCCATATTTGTGTGACGGCGCGTACAGACAGAGGAGCGCGAACACGTAAACATTCCACATGCCGTAGGCTCCCACGTAGAAAGCGCTCGTGTACTCCAGCTTGCTCCTCTCCTCCGACAGGTCTTCTCCCCACTTCCAGTGACCTTCAGCAACTTGGCTGACGATGAAAAAGATCACCGTGAGAGCGGCGCAGAGCAATGTGATCAACATCAGGAACTTGAACCGGTAGATGATTCCCTGAAAATGTAAACGATAGATGGCAGCACTTGTACAACAACGCCAGTAGATGCAATAAGTTCAACACTCGCCACGTACATATATGTATGTATTGTTTGTATATTTGTACACGAACGGATTTGACCTAACCTCGTAATACGCCCGTCTCTTGCTAGGCATGCTGGGAAGAGAGCCTCGCTTGAACGTTATGTTCCTGAACACCTGAAAAATTATCACAACAATTACTTTTGGCAATTTACTAGTTCAGCAAGTACACCGACATTTACCACAGTTATGGCTCTGATCTCATTATGATTAAAGTACATACATCACACATTCACATTATTATAAAATTTCAATAATGAATGTTTAATAAACAATACAAAATGGAAAAAAAGTGGATCAATTAACGGCATTAACCATAGGATACTGATGGATGACTCAGAACTTCAATGCACATGTTGTTTTGCTGCCTTATATTCCTGTATGCCACATGATATATCATATAATTCAGTCAAGCGAATGTGTGGGTACCTTAAAGACCATCCAACAGAGCAGAATGAAGTAGAGGCAGGCACATATGCCTGCTATAATTATGAAGGAATACGCAAGATTTGTGCCAAGATCAGTTGCCCAGATGCTGTAGAATGGATTACGAAGTTGTACACCCCTGAAGAAGAAAATATTTCCTTCACGTACAGATTCTCACCAACTAACACTCACTCATAATCACTACAAACTCTCTAGCTGGAAATTTGCATTGCATACCATTCGCATAATATTATCGGATCGGTAAATTAAGTATCTTTCCTGGCAACCGTGGTTTGTGAGCGTACCTTTCACACATGTCGAAGATGAACATGCACAGGCAGCCGAACATCACGGCAGCGAGATGCTTCCAGTAAGCAACAAGTCTGTTCCGCTCCACGTCATCCTGAGAAAAATTTTTTAGTTAAAACAATCTACTTCATTTCATTGTGCTGTATGAGCAAATTTTGGGCTGCGACTCGTGAACATATTAATACGTGTGAGAAGGAACACACCCGCCAGATGAGAAAAGCCATTACCATTAAATGTTCGCCAGCAAATATGATCCAGAAGCAGAGCAGCAAACTGAAGAACACGCCCTGCTTGATGTCGCTTAGCAACAGCATGAATGGCAGCTCCATCCATAATGTCAGCCACTCGATAGGGACTGAAATTATACACAAGAATGATATACAAGAATATCAATTATATACAAGAATGATATACAAGAATATCAATTATATACAAGAATGATATAGGTTGTCAGTGCAACAAAAGTTGATTCACCAAACTGATTAGTCTATAGGTCATCAAACCTAACGTATAACCTAACTCATTTAACATATAACAAAAATGCTTTATTTACAATTCTTAACCAGCATGTGATTCTATAACATTAGATGGCTTACGTTAATACCATGTAAGTGTTTAGTTATTGCTAATTGGCTATAAACGTATAACTATAAATGTTAAATCCTACTTACTGTTATTAATCACCAACACTACGCCCAAACCAAGTAACATTCTGGAATAGAAATAAATTCATCCACAATCATGCTATATAACCAATATTTAATAGGGCCCTTTTTTATCAATAAATATGTTAGTATTTGTTCACATGTTCTTTGAAATTTAACTGTGACTTGCTTCAATGCAATTACTATACCTGCAAAGTGAAACAGCACTTACTTCTCCAGGAGGACTGGTGGGCGTGGCAACTGCTTGACCCTCCTCCAGAACCAAATGATGATGCCAATGAGTATAGGTGTCACCACTGTCTTCGTGCTATACCAAACCTTTGTAAAACCACCATTTTGGTGGATGACCTGCCATAGTCAATGATAAAGAATCAGAGAAGGTGCCGCAGCATTTTACAAAATACTATAGTTTTGACATGTCTATGTTTTGTTATTACAGTTGAGCAAGAAATGTCATTTGGACAAGAAGGTACAGGCTATGATTACTAGTCATTTTTTCATTATTATATCTGCTACCGATATCTGTACTTACTAACAGTACACACTAATATAATATTACACCAATCATCACACTTCATTTGTCACTGATCTTATATTATACATTTACTATTCCTATAAAGGAGTATTCAAAGTCTCAATTGTCGCGTACAGGTAAATACAGACAATCACAAAAGTACCGTACACACCATCATGCAGCAAGGCAACCATTATAATAGACACGACAGGTACACACACAGCTTTGTAGAGCCACAGAGCTGCATCAGATTGCAATTTGGTTACAAACACCATCACGCTCCTACAAACTTACGATGACCCAGATGTCTTTTAGTGTGCCGATGCCATAGTTTTTGTTGTCGGTCACACCGGTGATCGGCAGACGAATGTTGATGAGGTAGAAGTTGTGATGCACAGCGCCGTACTCGTACAGTGGCAACATCGAACAGTTGTAGTTGTAGCCATCTTCCTTCTGTAATCAAATACCAAACATCCGGTGACTTCATTGTAACAACTGGTGCCTCCTCATTGAGACGTACCTCAATAATAACTTATTTAGTTATAAGACTGGACTCATCCAGGTATTACAGCTGTTGGCTGAGGGAAAGTGATACAAAGCGAATAGACCTTGTCACAAAGTCTCACTCAGTCATCTTCATGTACCATTTAGAAATGTCATGCAAAGTCACTTGTTTTTGAGAATAAATAAGATATTGTTATTCGCAACACATCTTTCCCCTCTTTAAATTTGTCATACATGGTCAGATTTTCATAGCAAGCCATGCTCAAGTACTCAGGTAACCCGAGAAAATCTGTGAATGATTGGCAAAGGTCGGGTGAAAAAGGCCTAAATGTATATACATACTGTGTTTCTGTACAGGGCTAAGTATAGTATCATATCAATGGTAACGTCAGCACTAAGGTATCTAGTATTATAGTCTATGCTAGTAGCTGCTTGCTAGACAACAACAACTCCACATTCAACATGTAAAGACTCACAAACTGTTCATCCAGGCTGCAGTCCATTGTACGAGTCTCCGACGCATGTGCCAGCTCCTTCCAGTCACCTGGTTTGTCACCGATGTCGCGGTACCCCAGACGCAGATCCAGCCCTAAGAGCGGTTTCTCTATCACTGCCAACAGAAAATGTCCATGCTGAGTCATCAACACACAAATAACAAGTTACTTATGTGAGCGAAAACATGCTGCTGCTACTGCTACTGCTACTACCACTGCTGCTGCTACTGCCACTGCCGCTATTGCTGCTACTACTGCTGCTCCCGCTGCCGCCGGCGCCGACGACAACGATGACGACGATGGTGATGACGATGATGCTACAGAGAACACTCAGAAGGCACCGAGGTAGCCATACGTACTTGGGTTGTGCTTCTGGTAGGCAATGTCCAGCATCATCACTCCCACCATGTACTGAAACCAACGCACCATGTCTGGCTCTCTAGTCCCTGTTGAAAAACATTCTTAATGTTATTTGCAGATACAAGATTACAACTATAGTGAAATCAGAACCATGATACACCATCACAATTATGGTCAAATCCAAAGCATATATATGAGACTACGAAGTTCTATTACAAACTACCGCAGTGAATCGCATCCACAATCACACTTGAATGAAAGAGAATAGTGGGAAATTTAACAAGCTACATATATACGCACCCTCCATGGGATTGGGAAACTGCAGTGAGAAGACAATATGGTCCGCGGTGATGTGGTTGTCTATGATGTACGGGTCATCCAGCGTAGACACACGATTACAGTTTCCCTGCACACGAACCAAAATATGATTGACATTGACATTTATTTATGTTAAAATGAGTAATTGAGTAGCATAAAACATACGTGCATTAACACATTTAACAGAGATATAAGTCAACGGTATAAGCTACAGCTAAAATTTATAGAGTGCTAAACAAGAGTAGTGCTTAATAAATATAGCCGCAGAGACAATGTAACACGTACCTCTCCGCGTGGGTAAAACCATTTTCTCTGCTGCGTTAATGCACTGGAACCTTCATCTACACACTTTGTCGCCAGCAGAACCTGCACATTGTTTGGGGCTGGAGCTGCAAAACCAAAAACAACAATTGATTTAATTGGTATCGCTAGAAATATGTGTGTGTGACTACAGAGCTAACGATGTACTTACATCATATTAGAGCACTCTTTCATGTGTACATTTGACCAATTCTCATAACCATCAAAAGCTTCTAATGGATCAAATACATCTAACTGAGTAAAACATTTAATGGTATTATAGTCTTTCAACAAAAAACTTATTAGAAGTACGTGACAATCGTTTGTTGGGGAGAAAGCACCACGCACATGTTTACAGATGCTGCAGAAGATAATATAAAAAAATAAAATAATTATAATAAAATACTATCCTGGTAAGGTCTGATATGTCATTACCAATCTGATATCAACTAGAACGAATCAAACAACACAGTGCCAGTTTCCCTGGTGACCCGACTCTCTTCCCACATAACTTGTCTGGCATTTCGCACTCGCTTGGAAAGTGAGCAGTGTTCTTTTCATAGGGACCTGTCAGGTTTACAGCATGTAATTGCATGTTTATGATGCTGGTGCGAGCTGTTGAACTGTTCCAGACACAGCGGCTCCCAGTGAACTGCAGCTATTCTGAACCTAACCCCAGGCTATGCACGCATATATATATATATACATATACACAGTACAGCATTCGTCCGCTTAATCATCGCAGTCAAACTTTCACTGCATAGATGTACTGCCGTACTCGATGACCAATATTCCTACACCCTAAAAAGCTGAGACCATGATTAATTTCCCTTGAAATAATACACATTTAGCTTGCCCCCTATTATGCAACTACACTTTTTACATTCACAATGATAGTCATTGACATTACAGTAATCTCACAAATTTATATAGACTGGCATGACAGTGGACAGCATAACAATTTGACTTCCTTATATCAGGACTGAATAAAAACACATTTGTTTTTATTCAATCCTGCTTGGCAGTGATGCAGGGATCTGTCAAGGTAATCTACACAGAATGTAGCAAGTATGTAGTGTTAGAAAGCTGATGGGTCTTCATCAGTTCCCACAAGAAACCAACGGCAGCTGAGTCTACGCTGATAGACAATACAGGCTGAACATTTTTCCGCGCAGTATATAATCACGCTGTAAAATTTTTACGCGCTCAATTCGCAGACGATCGTGCGTGTGTTGCGCGCGCCGCGCGAGATACACAACAGCAGACGCGGCTATAACACTGTTAACTATTCTCTTGTGATCAAGTGTCTGAGCTCGGACAATCTGCCGCACGCACTGACTGATCATGGGCGACAGCTCCGAGCCAAGATGCGCGGCCTGCTGCACCTGTAAATATAGCAGAGCGGTGCCTTGGCAAAGGATAGTATTCCCGCGCGCCGCCCGTACGTATGTAGTTAGTTAGAGGATGCCACCACTAATGTGAACATCATGTGCGAGTCGTTACAACAAGCTGCCGCATTGTATCTAGCATGAGCCACGATGGTCGGGAACGTTTCTGTAGGGCGGCCCACCTCACAGCGGCAGGAAGCGAGAAGGATGCTGAGCATCTGTGAGTGCCTCAGCTTCCGCCACACTGCCTCCAGTGTTCCGTCTGCGTGGCTGTACCGTGTGCATGTGCTGGCAAGACATTCACTAACGCTGAAGGGGTCGTTGCCGTATATTTAGTACCCGAGGTGTCGGCGAGTATGTCGCCTACGCCTACTCCCTAACCCTAGCCCTAACACCCTAACCCTAACCATATCAAATAGTTACCTCGGGTACATATTATACGCCATTATACGACAACGACCCTTCGTGCTTCACTAACCCGGTTCATGATAATCCAATTACCACGAGGATATAACAAGTCTATATGTGCGATGGGCCCACCAATGAAATGCACTTCTTATAGTACCTCTCACTACAGTCTCTCATCACATACGAAGGTTTTTCACCATTTACAACACTCTAGGGTATCGACCCTGCCATACTACGGCGAAAACCAAGCGTTCGAGATTGAGAGAATTCATAACATCAAGAGTGCATAATATAGACTATATTACCGTATACTAAAATAGATTATATTATACACTCCTGATAATATATGAGGTCATGTATAGCTATTTTACTCGCATGATGCTTGCCAATCTAAACGGTTTTACAGAGGATAAAAGCTACAACAATCGCCTACATGGCATATCAGAGATTATCTCAGTATGTATATGATGAGTAAATGCGATACGTATATTGAGACAACTAGTACTGAGTGAATGTTTTGCTAGACAGAAGAGCTACAACAAAAAGGGGGAGTGTACACATTGATTTGCACACGTGCAGGCAGTTGAAACATAAATCCAGACAGCCTGAAGAGTTATATATTGTGCATTTTCCTGTTTATCATGACATGGCAGAGCTGCTAAACTTTCCAGACACGATTATTGATTGAGGCACTATAATTGTGAGACGTCCAGTAAGCCTGGCTGGCAGTACAAACCACAGACCAAGTTACTGGAGGGAATTTGCCTTGGCTGCAGCAAAACAGTGTATTCGGCACTAGTGAAAGTATTCGGCACTATAGTGGAGTAGTTATAGGGATTGGAAACACTTTGAAATAGCACCATCAATGTGTCATTTATTCTTTTACCTTATTTTTGCTTTGGTGTGCAGCATTTCTCTGTGCTGTAGATGCAATTGATTTGATAAATGGAGAACACAAAAGGAAGGTCACAAAAATTCCCAGGATATAATTTCATCGGAACCAACTTGTTTAGCGCACCACAGGAGAATTTTTATCAGCTAGGATACAAGCACGTTTTCCAATCAACTTAGCCACACAAAACGTGTTTGGAGATTAGTATCAGCCTATAACACAATGGCACGTTAGTGATTGAGGAAATTCAATAGTTCCGAGACATTCACGAACCTGATTCAGCTAATCTGCAGCCCTTTGTAGGCGAGCTGGCTTTGGTGTGCGCAACAAGCCACTTACACAAAGGCGATTACTTGCACTACTTGCCAGCATGTCACAACAGGCTAGAGGCATTAATACTGCCAATACTGACATATATGTAGGACTAGCTATTATAATGCTACAAAATTTAACTAATAATTCAATAAAATTGTGACGCTGCATCCATGATGTCACTAATAAAATATTAATGTTGATATACTCCTAATAAAATACTGAAATTCCATGTCTACCACATTTGATATGTAGCTTCTGGTTCTACAGAAAGCTTCTGATACCACAGAAAATCACTTTACCCAATGTATCGTGCTACGACTAAACATATGCATCGGAATTTTGCTCCTGGGCGTATGTATACATATTGGCACAATCCTAGCTAACCACTCTAAACTGCCACATATTTATTGTTGAGGGAGCCCCTACGATTATATAGCCTGCTCATGCTAACAACGCTGATTATAACTACAGCTGTATACGCAGTTATTGATCGATCATTGGTTTCTCCTTCCTCCCCCCCCCTCCTCTCTCTCTCTCTCTCTCTTCATGCTGGCCTCATTGGGGCGTTGCATGTGGAGGAATGTTCCAGAATTCACTCCTACCCTGTTATACCTAACCAATATTATACTATTGTGTGCAAGCATTTGACTATGTGGTCAGTGACTCAGTATAATTGGTCAATTTGTATAAGCATAATAGGTAGCAACAGTGGCCATTTCATAACAAATAACCAACTAGAAATGCACAATTATAGCATCACAAACATCACGCTGTCAAAATGTTTATGATGTACCTACAATAGGCGCAAATCCACTTTAGGCACCTTAGGTATCACGAAGTGATGCACAGATTTCTGTGTATCATCAACTGATGCACAGACTTTCCGTATATCAAGGAATGATGCAAAAACCCTAACCCTAACCCTAACCCTAAGTCATGAAGTATAACCTTAGGCTTAGGTATCACGAAGTGTGTTAGGGTTAGGGTTAGGGTTAGGGTTAGCGTTAGGGTTTTTGCATCATTCCTTGATATACGGAAAGTCTGTGCATCAGTTGATGATACACAGAAATCTGTGCATCACTTCTTGATACCCAAGGTGCCTAAAGTGGATTTGCACCCCTACTATATATACTATACACACACACACATGCACGCACGCACGCACGCACGCACGTGCACGCACACGCACACATATGGAGAACACCGCATATCATATCGAGTGGATGTGAGCAGAAATCGTTGATGCAAATATACTGTTTGCAGTTAGAAAGGTAACTACTCATAGGGTTTAATGCTAATCCCCTTGTTGTGAGTACCAAACATGTTTGAGCTCTAAGACAATTGTTGCAAACAATGTTTTGTGGTTTTGGTCACGACACATGGCCAACTTTCGGTAAAGTGCAAATGTTCTTCATTGCTTTAATACAGGAAAAGAATATCATGTGCATTATCTGCGAAGAACATGTAGCACGTAGGCCTACCTTCTTTCTTGGTCTTATGTTTATACTTATTCATTCACTGGACAACATTTAAATGTTACATCAGTCTAAATATCAGCCAGCTAAAAATAAATATGCTGCATTTAATTATACCGCCAATTTGGGTATAGAACTATCACTAAGTCTAAAGTCTATGATTTAGACATACAATACATTATTAGTGGATGACTTCTTACCTAAATACTCTGTCATATCACGCATATCAGATTGATTTAAAGGCTCACAATGCGCATCTAAACGCTAATTTCTCCAGTACTAGACTAGCAAATACTTCGTGGCATGCATAATCACACTACTTTATGACAAAATAAACTCTAGTTGCTCCCATTTCACTGCGCGTTTGCTTAAAACCCACAAGAAAGAGGTGAGCAAACTGGCATTCTGGCGCAAACGCCGACTGTTTGCCAAACAATATAGCCTCGAAGTGGTGACCAGGGTTCTCCCTACGATGCCCGCGCCCCGTTTGGGAAAACTCCCCCCTGTTTCAATCGTTGCGCCCCGTTTGAATTACCTCCGCCCCGATTAAATTCCACCACAATAAAAGTTTGACAGCGCGGGAATCCATCGTCAAGAATTCCCATTCGACCAGGACCACCGACGCGTGTAATTTTACCGTACCACGCATGCACTGCAGACCATACACAAGTACAAACAGTTAACCTGTACTGAACCCAACACTAACTGTACACCGACTCGGCTATCTTATATATACAAGAACCCCAAATACCGTCTATAGTGTGGTGGCGATTTTACCCATTAATTAGTGGTACGGTAAAAAAACACGCCCCCGGACCCCCCTAGTTTCCCCTTGGGGGTATACATTGGAGGTATTTTCAACAGAGTGGCTATATACCCGGCAGCCGGCATATATCTGACGGCTGCCGGGCACGGTCTTCGATTTCCTAAATGCCCGGCAGTTTTTAATTTTTAGTGTTATCTCAAGTAAACAAGGGTTAGGGTTAGAGTTAGGATTAGGTTTAGGGTTAGGGTTCGGGTTAGGGTTAGAGTTAGGGTTTTTGTTAGGGTTAGGGTTAGAGTTAGGGTTAGGAACTGCCGGGCATTTAGGAAAACGAAGACCGTGCCCGGCTGCCGGGCATATAGCCACAGCGTATTTTCAAATACCTTTTATAAGACAACGCGCAGTGAAATGGGAGGAACTAGAGTTTATTTTGTCATAAGGTAGTGTGATTATGCATGCCACGAAGTATTTGCTAGTCTAGTACTGGAGAAATTAGCGTTTGGATGCGTATTGTGAGCCTTTAAGTTTAAGTGCTCTGAATCCGTATAGTTTTCACGATGCAATAATTATCGGGACAGTTATATTATGAGTTAACCACATTACCTTATACTACTACTACTACTAGTTATAAGTATTACTATTCGTCTTCAAAGACCAAAGCCAAAGGATTATATCGAAGACGGAATGACTTATGGCTATGCAACTATTTCTGTAGCTCTAGCCCGCGTACTGTACTGTTGAACTGTACGCGGGCTATACTTATTACTATACTCTATATAGTACTACTAGTACTACTACTAGTACTACCAGGAGTAAGATAATATATAGGATCTTATATTATATAGGATATATATTAGATAGGATAGGATTATATATTATATAGGATCCTATATTATCTTACTCCTGGTACTACTAAGTACTAGTAGTAGTACTATATGGCTACTATTTCTGTATCTTCGGTTTTACTTACCAATCAGCCCTCCAATCAAAAAGAAAACCATTTGTGCCAGAAGCAGTGACACTGTCAGAACGCCTAGTTTTCGATTACTCAGGTTTTCTAGCACGGTTCCTGACATTCTTATTAAATCTGCTCAGTTCAGCTCAAGTATGAGAGTAGAAGTGCCGCGCCAGAGCATAGACATACACAAACACATGACATCACCTTATCACCTACAGTTTGTCAGTTTCCGCATGAGAACGCAGCTAACGCCAGGTGGCGGTATTGCGTATCCGGTAACAGATTTATTTACTGACAGGGCACGTTTGTTATGGAAATATCATATATGTTATTAATATTACTATAATATATTTCAATATTATTTATAGAAATATACAGAGACACTAGTCTAACCAGAAGAGACGGATACCCGCAAAAGAGAAGTATCGCCAATAAGAGGTGTTGATCCTATAAGGCCCGCTTTGAGAGCGGAGATCTTGGCGGCGCAGTTGCGGTCAAAGGATAGAGAACTATCGGGTCGCGGCAATAAAACCAATGTATTTACATGCAATATAATAGGGTTACTGGTTAGGGTTAGGATTAGGGTAGGGTTAAAGTTAGGGTTAGTAATTAGGGTTAGGTTACGGTTTAGGCAGCATTGGTTTTATTGGGACGGCGCATGTTCTCGTTAATCCTTGGGCCCGCGTTCGCGTGGCAAGGCGGCACGCGACCGGCGCATAACGTCAACCTAGCCGACAGTAATGCAGCGCTGGCTAGCTATGTTTACCTCTTTCAATCACACAGCTGTTTAAGATCGCCATTCGCTGCATTTCCCCGGCGCTTCCGCCCCACTTTAAAAATAGTAAGCCCACTTTTAAATGCTCAGAGTAGCGTTTACACCCACCCCCATAATCCGTACTTTTGGTTAATTGGGCTCAAGATATGAGAACATGGGTCCCAAGTAAAAGACGTTTTTTCTGCCGATTAGATGGCGCACTATGGGCCCTTAGCAGAGGAAGGTGATGGGAAATGCTCGCCGCGTCGCAATGGTGCAGACAACGGCCCGAAAAACGGCCGAATAACCGAGGGCCGAGTAGGGTAGTTCTTCAAATGCATTTTTTTCGACCACTTCCTGTTAACTCACCGATCATGTTTAATCGGTTGAATGAACAAAGAACACCCTCACGTTATAGTCCCCTGTCGATTTTAAAGGGCTACCGTCGCACATTTAGCAGAAAATGACTAGGTTTTCAAATTGGGCCCATGTTCTCTATCCTTGAAACCACCCCCATATCGTGACTTTTGGTTAATGTGGGTGTACACTCTTAGAAATTTACAGAGGTCTTCTTGAGGGTGTTTGTCAACTAATTTCTAGGGCAGAAAAGAGGTCATGTTGTTGATCGCAAAGGCGCGACAATACGCTGCGTTTCCACCCAGCGACGCTCACGCCTTGTTTTGACAGAATTTCTCAGCGATTTCATTCAGCGGTCGTCGCGTATTTCACACGCAGGATTTCATTATCATTCATGTTGCTGTGCGGCTGTCACATTTCTCGTGCCACTTTTGCCGCAGGGCGCACTTACGGCAGTGATACAGACGCCTTCTTAATTATTCTTCATGAACCTGGGATGCAATCGCACAGAAAACGAGGCTAAGCTATAGGCAATTTTTGTAACAATGGCTGCTGACAGGCAGGCACGCACAGAGGGAGTAGCAGCGGCACGTACGACTGTGTGGGCCCGGCACGCAGGTTACACGCAACCGTACACGTACACGCAGATAGCACAAGCACGTACTACGCGGGTACACGAGATACACGCACGGTACCGCGGGTACACAGCAGCGTTGCAGCGCAGCGTAGCAGCGGCGGCGTACAACCGCACGTAACACGCGGTAGCACGCACGTACACGCGGGTACACGCTAGATACACGCACGTACACGCAGCGTACGACGTAACACGGAGATACACGCACGTACACCGCGGGTACACCAGAGATAACACGGCACTGTACACCGCAGGGTACACGCAGCATACACGTCCAGGTACACCACGTACAACGAGCACGGTACACGCACGGTACACAGCACGCGTACACATCGGTACACGCAACATACACGCAGATACACGCATAACGTCAGATACACGCACGTACACGCGGGTACAGACGGAAGATACCCGCACGGTACCACCGGTACACGCACGTACATAGCCTCGCAGGTACACCGCACGCTACACGCACGTACGACAGCGGGTACACGCACGGTACCGCACGATACATGCACGTTACGACCGAACGTACACGTACGTGGCAGGTCACAGGCCTCGTAGCACTGCGGGTACACGGAGATTACACGCACGTAACGCGGGTGACATCCCTACACGCAGATATCCACCATCGGTACACACCGCACGTGCAACGCGGGTACACGCAGCATACACGTACTACGCAGAGTTTGCAGCGCACGTACACGGCGGGAAACACGGAGATACCACGCACCGGTACCACGGCGGTCAGCACGCCTCGGCACAGTACACCACGTACAGCGCAGGTACACCGCACGTACACGGCCCCCGCGGTACACCCTTTGGCGCCTGCATCACGGCAGATACACCACGTACACGCACATTATCGCATGCACGTGGCGTGTACCCGCGTGTTACGTGCGTGTACCCGCTCGTGTAGCGTGCGGTGTAGCCCGCGTGCCACGTCGCTGTATCCGCTGTGTACGTGCGTGGTACGCTCGGGCGTGTACGTGCGTGTATCTTGCGTTCTACCAGGCTGGGCGCGTCATGTGGCGTTGTACCCCGTGTACGTGCGTGTAGCCGCGTGTCCACGTGCATGTAGCCGCCACGTGCAGCGGTGCGTGTACCCGCGTGTACGTGCGTGTATCTGCGTGTACGTGCTTGTACGCTGCGTGTGTGTGTGTGTACCGCGCGTGTACGTGCGTGTATCTCCGTGTACCCGCGTGTACGTGCGTGTAACGTGTGTATCTTCGTGTACCCACGTGTAACACGCGACGGTATCTGCGTGTTACGTGTCGTGCGTGTATCTGCGTGTACGTGCGTGTAGCCTGGCGTGTACAGTGAGTGTACCCGCGTGTACGTGGGTGTATCTCCGTGTACTCACCGCCGTGTACGTGCGTGTATTCTCCGTGTACGTGTACGTGCGTTAATCTGGCGTGTCGTGGCGTGTCTATCTGCGTGTACCTGCCGTCGTACGTGCGTGTATCTGCCTTGTGTAAGCGCACGCGTGTATCTTTCGTGTAGCGTGTTACGCGTGCGTGTAATCTGCGTGTACGTGGCGTGTATCTGCGTGTTACACGTGCGTGTACGCCATGCGTGTTATGCGATGTATCCCCTCTGTGCGTGCCTGCCTGAGCAGGTCCATTGTTTGTACAAGAATTGCTAGCTAGCCGTCGTTTTCCTGTGTGAGCCCCAGTATGAAATAATAGATTAAATGAAGGGTCTAGTTAAGCTGTCGTCTTCCGCTTCAAATGAACCTGTAACCCTTGGCGATTTTCCGCAACGCACTTATGAACGATGCCAAATTTGAACGTCAAGATCGGCCATTGCACTCAGCACTGATCCGCTACTGCCATCTAGCGTTGATGGCGGCGACATATTTCGCAACGGCCGACACCTGGTTCTGCACCTTTCCTTAAACTAAGCATTCGTCCAGAGGTAGCGGTTTAGCACCCCTGGATGGGGTGCCCCCATATCTGTGCCTTGCTTTTGTGTAACTTCTGCTCTTTCATGCTTTCTATAGCTATACGCCAGCTTTGGTATGGATGCGATGTGCTTCATAGGCTACTGTCGAAAAGCCATGCACCGGTGTCTATCGTGCAATCGCATAGGTCGGTATATAATGGTATATAGTGTTCGTGTGCAATGTAATACGTGCTGTATGTGGTGCAATGTACGCTGGGCAATACATAGGATTGTGGCCGTAGTACTACGTAGGCTCCAGTCTACACTACACTGCACTTTGTACAGCTGTAACGGTGTAACCGTGTACATTAGACTTGTTAGTGTGTGAGGCACGAACTTTATGGCATGCCGAATGCTGACGTCTTGGCTGCTGCTTCATAGTCATCGTCGTTATCGGTAAAATAGTCGAACTTGAAGTTGATTAATTTATATACATGTTAATTATTTAGCTCATCTGACGAACTCAGATGCAGGTTGTTAAGAATCGCATGATTGTCCCGTGCGTCCGTCCGTCCCGTTTCATTGTGCGTGCGTGCTCACCTTAGTTTGGGCACAAATCTTAACGGCGGCTCGACGTAGCGGTCACGATATTTGGGACGTTCGGGGGGGGGGGGATCGTAAAAAGGACTGCAGGATGACTAAATTTGGGGGTCAAAGGGTCAAAGGTCAAAGATGTGTAAACGGAGGGGGAATATTTCCCCCTTAACTTAAGGTATAGGAGAAATACGGATCTGTGGCACAAATCTTACACGGCTCGACCTGTATGCTCCTTAATATTCAGTGTATAGTGTGGATGGGCAGGAAAACCTTGCAGCCAGTGGGAAATTGGAGGTACAGGTCAAAGGCAGTGGGCGAAAGGTCAGATATCAGACATTTCTGAGGACATGGTCTACCGGACACAGTGAAACATCTTTTTTGGTTTCAGCGCTGACGCTACCCCATTTTTATGCACTCTTAATTGAAAAGGAGCATGAAATGTGCTTTCCAACGATGGTGCGAAGCAGCCAGTGTCTGAATAAGCCATTTGACCCTGCAGAGCGATGGGTTAAACATGGATTCCTGAACTGGCCTCCATGATCGTACAGTGTTCTTCGTATTACATCGGCACATGCCATAATCTAGAAGGCCAAGTAAGCCTGGATAGCCGAACGCCTACAGCACCAGGCGTCATGGCTGCCAAAGGGTCGTTGGTGGATGGGCGAATCGCCATCCAGATTTTTTTATTATTTACGTCTGTTTTCGTGTACTTTTTTTTTCTAAATCTCTAAATCCATTTAACTAGTTTTTTTCCCAATTAACCGCAAATATTTTACATGATTTTATTTTAACAAACAATTTAATAACGAACAAATAATTTTTACAACAATTAAATTTTTGTTTTTGTTTAATAGGGGTTAAGGCGTTGGGTAAGGGTCACAATGCACCATAAGAAGATTATTTTGTATTAACGGCAATGGGATTTAGGAGGTATGCAGAATTTGCAGAAGGTTGCTGAAAGTGATATTGTAACCGCAAGTATATCT